GCTGAGAGGAGGGAAGGGGGGGGGGGGGGGGGGGGGGGGGGTGTTCCAGTTTGCCCAATAGAGAGTCTTAATTTATGCAGCAGACAATATTTGAAACTGAACAAATACCAATTACTGAAAGGTCAGTCATCTTATTTTCAGTAAGTTTACACTCCAGGTACTTTATCCCTGTTTGTTGACTAAGCCAGGCATGAGATCAGTTCACTGTCTTTTACTGTCTCACAGCACTGAGCGGGTACTAAGTTACTCTAAATGTCAATGTCAATCCTAAAAAGCCATCACCTGGCAGACAAATGTTCCAGCAATAATCCAAATAAGATGATGCAGTTATCTTTTGTAGGCACCTGCAATTTAGCAGCAAGAATAAAAAACTTTGTTACATAGTTCTCTTTTTCAGTTTCAGCTGTTTGATTCCACACACCATTTCCTTCATCCTTGCAAGGAACTTCCCTTCTCCCCATACACTCTCTTTTCTAAGTGCTTTAAATAAAAGAATGCTCACAACCAATCCTGAAGTGGTTCTGTTGCTCTAAAGGCAATTGGTACAAATATACAAACTTTCCTTTATCCTAAAGGCATGATGTTGTTCCTCAACAACCACCTGATATTTCGCCATGCAGGTTTACAGCAATTGTTCTGAATGTACTAGGCTAGGCCAGACTAAGAGTTACAGCTGGTGCAAGAACATTTTTTCTGTCTGGCTGTGTTTGCAAAATAAATATAATAAAATAAAAATACATTTCTTCTGGTACTATAATGCAGTGGTCAGCTGTGGACTTCAAGGGAGGAGCTACTCCATACTAAAATGCAAATTAAACAATAAGCAGGCTATCAAATGTTTTGTGTACAGCTTGACTTTTTTTTTTTTTTTTAAAACATGAGGTAAGAAAAGTAAAATTCTGACACAGGTGGAACCTGACATGAGTTGAGAGGGTATCAGTAGTAATGTAAGAATTCAAGAGGGAAGATTCCAACATGAAAAAAGTATAAAATCCTAAAGAGAAAAAGCAGGGAGGCTGGCTGGAGGCTAGTTGATAATTGCCTTAGCTCTTTAGCTTTAGCCAGCTAGATTAGATAATTTGGGGATGAGAAGCATGGCTGATGCATTTACAAACACATTTTCAGCAGTAACCAACAATAAGCCCTCCTTCCAGAGCCTGAACGGATTTGGTTACAGATACTCTGTGAAAGCTTTCTAAAACCTTTTCTAGCTTTGATCTCTGACTGAAAAGAATCAGCATAGATACCTATACTAGACTGCCTAGAAAGCTATGGCAGACAGAGACAAATACCAGAGCAAGTCCATTCAGAAAAGTCAAGACAACAAAAGGGGTTAGAGTTGCATGTCATGGCATAAAGATTTACCAGCAACACAATACTTAACCGAGTTTGGAATATCAGATATGTAAAGGTCAACAAAGCCACATAGATACTTATCATGAATAGTGTCAAGAAAAAGCACAGAGCGAACACCCATACTGCATTTTTCATTTCACTCTCCAAGCTCTGCCAGAGCCCTTTTCTCTAAGAAACATAATTTAAAGAAAAGAAATAAAATAGTCTAAGATTCAAAATATCAACACTGTTCTTCATGCAACATCTAGGCCAAAAAAAAAACCACAAAAAGAGACAACATAAGAAAAGCTACCTTCTATGTTACACAAAAACAATCACCCTAACTCAATCCAAAGGTCCATCAAACACAGTATTTTGATTTCCAGTAGTTTCTGACAGCAGGTGTGTGGGAAAAGAATACAGGCCAAACATGTTGTGATACTTCCTCCTGAAGAGTTAATCCAGTTTCTACCACTTCATGGCTTAGAGACTTCTTAAATGCTAGGGTTGACATCTTTAAGATTTAGTATCCCCTAAGAGATTTTTCTTCTACGAATTCATCCAGACTTTTTGAACATACGCTTTTAGCAGCTACACAGTCTTACTGCAAGGACTTCTGTAGCTTTGCTGCAATCCATAAAAAAACCACCCCTGCTTCCTTTGAATTCAGCATCTGCAGGTTTTATTTAATGTCTCCACTAGTACTGGAATAGGTAACAAACATTCATTCTTTAGTTATCGATCCTGTGCCACTTGTGATTTTAGACCTCTCAAACATCCTCCTTGCCCTTATCTGAACCTCCTCCAATTCAACTACATCTTTTTCAGGGTGAGAGGGGATTTTACAGCCCCTCTTTTGGATCATTTTATTTGGGCATCACCAGCCAGGAGGGAAAAAGACTCTGCAAGCAGGACACATACAACTTAAAAGCATAAAGCAATTATTGATTGACTAACATGCATAAAAGACTGCTACAATTTAATGAGGTATTAGGCTAAGCATTATTATGCTCACCCACCAAATGCCACACTGGACAGTCTGGCCAGGCAGACAGCCAACAGGCAGGGTCAGCCTCCAAGGCTCCTCAGTGATTTTATCTGTCTTGACTTTAGTCTGCGGTTACTGACTAATGCAGTTTGAAAGTACCTCTGCACTAAAGTGGTAAGTAAAATGAAGAAACATGCAAGTCAGACACAGCAGAGGGAAAAAGGAAAAGGCAAAGAAAAGTTGCATCAGTACAGGCTGGAGATCAGCTAGCTAGATAACAGCTCTGTAGAAAAAGACCTAGGGAATCTGGTGGACAGCAAACTGACCATGTGTCAACAGCATAGCATTGTGGCAACGAATTAACAAGGGCATAACCAGCTGATCGAGCAAAGTGGTAACTCCCCTCAACTTGACCTTGGTGAAGCCATACCTAGAACACTGTGTCTGGTTTTTGGACACCCCAGACCAGAACCAAACCGAATAGACCAGCTAAGAACCCCTGCGAGGATTAGGGGACTGGAGTACATGACAGAAGGGAGACACTAAGGGAACCAGACCTTTTTTTTTTTTTTTTTTAAGTCTGGAGAAGACCGAGAGGGCATCTAACTGTCTAACTGCAGTCTTTCACTTCCTAAAGGGGAGTCACAGAGGAACTGGAGTCAGAACTACACACTAAAAGGACAAGAGGCAAATTCCACCTGCACATAAGAGAAACATTCTTCCCTACGAGAGAGGTGCAGCACCACAACAGGCTGCCTAGACACTCTGTGAAATCTGACCATCCTTGAAGAAGGTCAAAACTCAACTCAACAATAACCTGCACAATACAAGCTAACTTTGAAGTTAGCCCTTTGAGGAGGGTGTTGGATTAAATACCTCCAAACTTCCCTTCCAGTCTGAATTTTCTGTGATTCCAAGTTTAAGCTAAATGCTGTCAGTCACAATTCTAACCTCACACTCAAAGAAGAATAATGTTGCTCAAGCCCTCTTGGAGAAGAAACAGGCTCCACTTACCTCTAACTGAAAAAAATTGTGGACCAGCACCACAATAGCCAGTACTGCCATAAGCAGGCAGAAGATCTGCAATCTGAACGAGTCACGCCACATTGTCCATTCATGTCTTTCCCTCCCATGTTAGACGCTGCCATGACTTCCATTCACCACAAACATGAATGTCATTTCGTCTTGGTAGTGCACAAGAGAATTCAGTTGACTTCCACTTCATTCCTGCAAATGCATTTACAAAAATTATATTAAATCCCCAAAATATTATTAGAAGTAAATTTGAGTTTAACACTGAAAGTATATAAATGGCGGAACTTCGCACAACAACAACTGGTACAATAGAACTGTAAAGTCAAGACAGATTTTTGTGACATTAATCTGAACAGTACTGTCTATTATGTTACTTAATTCTCTTGGGCATGTCAAGGCAAAACCTTACCATAAAGCTAGTCTCACCTGTATTTGATATAAAACAAAAGCAAAAGAACATTTCTTTCTGGCAACCAAAAAACCAACACGAACAACAACCACCCTATTTATCCATCAGGCCACACTATCACCATCCAGCCATCATGAGTCCAAGACTTCCAGCAGAAACTTGTGTTTTTAGACATCTCCCTATTTACCTGATTAGAGATTCCAGTCAGTTAAAGATTAAGGTCTGAAGCAAGTCTAGATAAGCAAGATAAAAGATACTTTCTCGAGTTTTCTGCTAGGGAGAGGGGAGAAAATAGCTGTAACACCTATCAGTTAAACAAGAGATACTTGACAGTTGAATGCACTAAAATGGAACTTCAGAAGTCTTCTACAAGATTAGACTACATCCTCCCTGTTGGTTTTGTGGTCTGTTTGTTTGGGTTTTTGGGGGTTTTTTAATTATTCCTTTTACACCATGTACTCTTATGCAGCTCTAACGGTAAAAAAAGTAAACTTCTGGGAAGAATGCAGGGTGTTGGGTTTTAGTTGTGTTGTTCATGATTTTTTTTTTTAATAAAATACAACAACAGTCATGTTTTCAATAAAATATAATTTTCGTGAAATATATTGTTTCTTTGAGGTTGCTTGATGGCTGATCCATTATAAAATCACACTTAACAACTGTTGATAATCAGTTCTCACAGCTTAATGCTTGTTCAGTTTGACACATATCTTCCTTCTTTTTTAGAGGGACAATTTTGAGGCAGTCATTTTGCAAGCAAAAAGGGTACCGTTCTTGCAGAAGGAGAAGCTCTAAACTTGGAAACAGGCAACAGATGGCAAGGAGAGACAGTCAAAAGACACCAGCCTCTTTAAACCTAATATTCTCAAAGCAGCATTACTCATACAACCATCCACCAAGTGCAACAACATAATCAAATTATTTGATAAGCTTTGTATAACTTTCTATAAATAGTATAACTGAGAAGTTATACAATTTATTAAGACTATATGAAGAATGCTGTGTAAATTTAAACTAAACATAATGATACGTTAAATATAAAAATCAGCTAATTCAATCATTCATTAAATGAGCATAGACTAGAAAACTGAAATATATTACTGGTATAACCAGGACAGTCTCAAAATAGACCACACATGAAATTGCTTTACAAGGATTATAGGGATTATAACTTCAAATGCTTTGCTGAGAATGTATTACAGAGATTGTATTTCCAACTGATAAACAAGCATTGAAAGAGCAAGACAGCCATTAAAGTATCAAACTGACAAAATGCAACAAAACCGCAGCTTTGTTGGAACAGTTCTGCACTAAAGTACTAAATTTGTATAAAATATCAAGTCAGGTTTTAAATGATAACTGATAATGAATATACCTAAATACATTAAAATGCTAATTTAAGGCCATATATGGCCATTTGAGGAACAGAAACAAACACACTAGAGAAAAAGGGGTTTTCCAATTTTGTTGCCGAGAATTCTCTTCAAATCACCAAAAAGCACAAGACACTGAAAATTAATAAAACGTAATTTCATACGCTTCAAAAGGCCATGGAGGTTACTCCCCTGTATTTTTGTTCAAAAGCTTTTGTGCAAATTTTTCTGTATTTCTGTAAACGTCACGTGTTCTAAAACATTCAAATGTACAGGTTTAGAGCTTCCTTTATACTTCTGGTTTCACCATCCCTCAATAATTGATCTAGTTCTTTTTATATATATAATGGAAGCACTTAAATACACCAAAAAGCCTTAGATTCTTACCCTATTCTTGGAGCATTCTCTGAAGCCACTCACACAAAAGGCCAAAAATAACCTTGAAAACAATACAGAAAAAACCCTCTATGCATATATATATACACACACACAAGTATTTTTTTAATAAAATCTTGTATATTGGTGGTTTGCTTGCAGTAACACAAAATAACACAGCAGTTAAGACTCCTCACCTGTAAAATTAATTGTTTCTACAATAATCCAGGGATTATTTTAAATTTTTTTTAACTGCAGTCCTATACCTTTGAATTTACTGCTATTTATTGTTAAGCATAACTCCTCTCCGCTTTGTTCCGTGTTCTTACACGTCCCATTTTGCCCAAGGTTAAAAACAAAAATGAGCTCAGTGACATTTTTATGAAGAGTCTTCAAGCTCTCTTATGCTCAAACACGAGATTGGTCGGGGTTTTTTTCGGGGTGGGGGGTGTCCCCAAGTCGTTAAATATTGTCAGCTCTCTATCCCAATACTTCTCCAAGCCAGCAGCATTACAAAAGCACGCACCAGCGCAACTACTTCCAAGAACCGTCTCGCAAATCGCCAAGGCAGACGAGCCGCTAACTCTGGCGATGCCAAACCCCTTTCGCTGAGGCACCAGGTTTCCAGGCGAGACGCTGGCCTCGCTGCAGCCACAGAAAACCCGTTTTCCTACCGTTCTTCCCCGTTCAGCCCCCGCGGTAGCTGACATTCAGAGGTCAGCCCGGATCCCCGACAGGAGCCCGGCTCTGCCGCAGCTCCCTGCGGCCGTTCTGGCCTCGGAGAAGGAGCCCGGCCGAGCTCCGCCGTTCGGGAATACGCGCCCACGACTCGGAGACCCGGGCCGGGGGAAGGCAAGCAGGAAGTGCCGCTGCCGGCAATGTAAATCCTAAAGCTGTATTTTACTTTTTATCGCGCTCTTCCGAGCCGCGGCACACCTTCGCCCGCGCTTCGGCAGCCCGGGCACAGGCGGCGGGGCCGGCCGGCCGGCCTCCGGGCTGCCACGGCGGCTCGCAGCCCTCGGGGGGAGCGGCACACGGGGCCGCCGGTGAAAGCCGGCAGCCCCCGCACCGGCAGGAACCGCCTTCGGCCGCCGCCGAGGTAGTAAAACCCGAGCGACGCCCGCAGCGCGCCTGTGGCGGCAGGCGGGCCCGGCAGCGGGGGGATGTAAGCAGGACACCCGCCAACGCCGGGAGCCCTCGCCTCAGCCGGGCACCCGCCCCCGCCACGGCG